ATTAAACAGACTATGCAAAGGCTTAATGAAATATAGCACAAAAGACCCATAAGCATTAGTGAAATCTCTCAACTAACCAGGCACTTTATTTGTGAAAGAGCTAATTTCCTAAAACACAATTAAGTGAAAATGGAAATTGACAGAGTGGGAGTGAGGGTGGGAGTCATAGTTTTGTTAGCAGCAATCCAGATCCAAATCCTGTGACAGTTTAAAATCATTGGCCTCTGCTGGACTTGGTGGCTCAGCCTGTAATCCCAGCACTTTGGGAGGCTGAGGCGAGTGGATTGCCTGAGGCTGTGGGTTCGAGACCAGCCTGGGCAACTTGCCGAGACCTCATCTCTACAATAAAAAAAAAATTAGCCAGGCACGTAGTTCTGGCTACTTGGAAGGCTGAGGCGGAAGGATTGTCAGAGCCTAGCTGGGTGTCACTGGAGTGGTCGTGAGTATGCCACTGCACTACAGCCTGAGCAACAGAGATTTCAACTCAAAAAAAAAAATCATTGGTCTCAGTCTTCTCAGTAAAATGAAAGGGTCAAGTTTTACTATTTTTAAAATCTCTTCAAGACCTAAAATTCTATGTTTGTCTTTTCACATTACATTATACTGAGTGCCTACTGTGAATCCAGGTCTAGTTACACAGTTTGAAGTTCAGGCATACATCAGAGAGATGACAGGTTTGGTTCCAGACCACTGCAATAAAGTGAATGTTGCAGTAAAGCAAGTCACACAAATTTTTTTTATTTTCTGGTACATATAAAGGTTGTGTCTACACTGTACTGAAGTCTATGAAGTATGCAATAACATTATATCTAAAGAAACAATGTGCATACCCTAATTAAAAATACTTAATTGCTAAAAACTGCTAACGATTATCTGAGCCTTTAGCGAGTGCTAATTTTTTTGGCTGTGGAGGGTCTTGCCTCTGTGTGAACTGCAGATGGTCAGGGTGGGGGTTGCTGAAGGTTAGGCTGGCTATGGCAATTTCTTAAAATAAGACAGCAGTGAAGTTTGCCTCAACGATTGATTCTTCCTTTCAAGAAAGATTTCTCTGTATCATGGAATTTGATCACATTTTGCCCACAGTAGAATTTACTAAGTTTATTGTCATGCTTTAAATCCTTTGTTGCCATTTCAACAATGTTCACGGCATCTTTGCCAGGAGTAGATTCCACCTCAAGAAACCACTTTCTTTGTTCATCGACAAGAAGCAACTCCTAGCCGGGCTCAGTGGCTCAGCCTGTAATCCCACGCCTTTGGGAGGCTGCGTGAGTGGATTGCCTGAGCCCGTGGGTTCGAGACCCACCTGGGCAACTTGGCAAGACCTCATCTATAGAATAAATAAAAAATTAGCCGGATTTGGTAGCACACGCCTGTAGTTCCAGCTACCTGGAAGGCTGAGGTGGAAGGATCACCGGAGCCCAGCAGGTGGAGGCTGCGGTGGCCGGGAGCAGCCACTGCACTCCAGTCTGGGCAACAGAGTGAGTCTCCAACTCCAAAAAAAAAAAAAAAAAAAAAAAGGCAACTTCTCATCTTTTCAAGTTTTATCATGAAATTGCAGCAGTTCAGTCACATCTTCAGGCTCTACTTCCAATTCTAGTTCTCTTGCTGTTTGCACCACATCTGCAGTGACTTCCTCCACTAAAGTCTTGAACCTCTCTACGTCATACAAGAGGGCCAGAATAAGTTCTTTCAAAATCCTGTTAATGTCGAATTTTTGTCCTCCCAGGTATCACAAATGTTTTTAATGGCATCTAGAATGGTTTTCTTTTCTTTTTTTTGAGTTGGAGTCTCACTCTGTCGCGCAGACTGGAGTGCAGTGGGATGCTCCCGGCCACCGCAGCCTCAATCTCCTGGGCTCCGGCGATCCTTCCGCCTCAGCCTACCAAGTAGCCGGAACTACAGGTGCACACTACCATGCCCGGCTAATTTTTTTGATTTATTGTACCGACGAGGTCTCGCCAAGTTGCCTGGGTGGGTCTTGAACCCACAGGCTCAGGCAATCCACTATCTCAGCCTCCCAAAGTGCTGGGATTACAGGCTGAGCCACCGAGCCCTGCTGAAATGTATTGTATTTCTTTAAAAATCTGACCCGCCTGGGCAACTGGTGAGACCTCATCTCTACAATAAATCAAAAAATTAGCTGGGCATGGTAGCGCGCGCCTGTAATTCCGGCTACTTGGAAGGCTGAGGCGAAAGGGTCACCGGAGCCCAGTAGGTCGAGGCTGCGGTGGCCGGGAGCAGCCACTGCACTCCAGTCTGGGCAACAGAGTGAGACCCCAACTCAAAAAAAATAAATAAGACACTCATGTAAACTGCATTTATGAATCTAATGCTTCAAAACTGTTGAGGACTTGATGTGATTTAAAATAACTTGGTTCAAAAAGGAACTTATTGTAAGAAAATGATCTTCAGTAGAGACAGAGGCCTTTTGTCCCCCTTCTTTTTTGGCTTAGGAGGGGATAAGAAGTGCTCTTTTGGGGACAAGATCTTCAGCAGAAGGGAATCCTTTGGCAGCAAGTATAAACAGCTTTGGCAGAAAGCCATCCTCCAGAGGAAAAGGACTTTAGCAATTGCGGCTCACCATACCCTCAAACTCCCAGGCTCAGGCTATCCTTCCGCTCAGCCTCCTGAATATCTGGGACTTCAGGCATACGCCACCATGCCTGGATAATTTTTTTTCATCTTTTGTAGAGTTGAGGTCTTACTACATTGCCAGGACTGATCTTGAACTTCTGGGCTCAAGCAATCCTCCCACCTGGGCCTCACAAAGTGCTGGGATTACAGGCATGAACCATGTTCCCAGCCTTTGTTTTAAACTTGGAAGTGGTAATGAGTTCCAAAGCTAAAAGGATAACCCTGATGCAAAGGGTGAGTCATATGAGTTGTTTGGGTGGAAGCACTGCATTGCAAAAGTGTTCTGAGCTGCCTCATTAGAAGCGGATGAGATTCAAGACTCACCCCTTTCCTGGTTTTGAGGGAAGATTAACTACTGTTCCAAGGAAATAACTACATTTTTCTCAGGGCCACAGTGCTCTCTTTAGCCATCCGTCTACAAAAATGGATTTGTGCTTAATTTGAGGAGCTTCTCATCTTTAATTGTAAAATGCTTCGAAATCCTTTGGCAGTGATGCATATATAGCTTTTTGCTCATCATATTTCTGGGATGGATGTACATACGTGGGCATGCATACTCATGTGTTTAGCCTCCATTTTCAAACTGCCGTTTTCAGTTGAGGGAATTGCTTGTGTTTGAATTAATTACTTGGAAAGATGAATGACGAGCCAGCATCCCATCCGTGTGTAATTACATGTGCAGTCGCGTGTGGTATTCTGCTTTGGTGTGGCAGGTTGTGATTGCGTGAAGGCTTAGCGAGGCGGTCAGAAGTCTCAGTCACTTGAGAATCCATTTCCCTTCGATTCCAAGTGACTGACATAGACACAGCAGGTGGGACAGTGGCAGAGATCCCCATACACATTCCTCCAGAGGAATATAGAGGATGCAAGGGCTGCTCCAGAAACAGAGTTTATTTTCTCATGTATTCAATCATCAAACCTTGCTGAGTACCTCCTATAGGCTACACATTTGTTGTCTGTGCTGTTCCCTCATCAGAATTCGTTCCTCCTTACTGAGGGCTTCATGTCCCCCTCCCTTCCTACTGCCCGAACAGACACCCAGGGTCACTGGACCGCTGAAAATGTTTGAATCTTTCTCCTCAAATCTTGAATCCTAGGCAACCCCCTAGGGTCCCCTCCCAGTGGGAGATTTTCTGTCCTCTTAATAAATCCTGCTTTCTAAAACAAAAAACAAAACTCAAGTCCTGTATCTCCTTCCTCGGAGGCCCTGTTAGAGTAGAGGCCCTGTTTATTTGTGGTAACCTTTTTATCATAAAATAAGTAAACCTCAAGATGGAAAAGTATTTCGGAGGAAAAAAGATGATTTCCTGAGCATCTTCTCATGTTACTGTGCTTGTAAGCATTTTCATGGCTGGGTATCATTCTGTTGTGAGCTTCAGTTTCATAACATATGCCCAACTGCTAGATGTTTAGAATCCTTCCTTTTACTTTTTCTCTACTACAAATAATGCTAAAATGGACATCTCCAATTTTCAAATTTGATTCACAATTTTGATTTACTTCCTTAGGGTAGAATTATTAAGTCATTGTTCATGAACATGTGTAAGACCTTTACTGTAAATAGCCAGCCCTCTTTTCAGAGCATTTGTAAATGCTTCTGTCTCATTAAGGATATGTTTAGTGTTCATATCATAGCACCCTTGCCCTCACTGAGCACTGAAAGCTTTTAAAATCTTCACTGATTTTTTTTTAATTTTCTTTTTAAAATTACTAGTGAGATTGGACATTTTTCATACGTTTATTAGGCATATTTGGTTTCTTTTTTATCAGTTCATCTTCTTTGTTCATATTTTTAGGGAAATTTTGGGGTATTATTTACTTGTGCAAACTTATTAGTATTAAGACTATGAACCCTTTGTCTTTAATATTTATTGATCATGTTTGGGCTAAAATATGATCCAAGTATATTATCTGCAATCGTAGTATCACTTACAGAAGATAATTTTTTTCAATAAGATCAGCTTATATCATTTCGTATAGGAGGTGGCTTTCAATGTTTAAAAATTAAGAATACATACCTTAGAGATAAGTACAGAAAACATCTCTTCCAGAAACTTCCATAAAATGGAGAGTTTATTGAGTCAAATTGCAAGTAAGACCTCAGTATTTACTACCAGTTGGTGCTTCTGTGTTGATGCAGCCACCGTCTTATTACCACACTTAATGCAATGGCCCCTCTCGTGTGCTCATTACAAAAACATGAGATCTGTGCCCAGACTAAGCATTTGAGACAGGTCATGAGCTGCTGTGGAATTCACTGGATTCCAGATAAAATTCCAGTCATTCCTCATCCCCATTCTTCAGTTTCCCTTGCCTCTAGACCCCTAAACGGCAACCCCTCAACATGTTCTCCTTTTCTTTTTTAGACAGTTCTTCGTCACCCCAGGAGGATGAGGAGGTGGAGACGGAGGCTGGCAGCTGGCAGGCCAGCAGTCCTGCCATGAACGGGCGCCCTGCCACTCCGGCGACCTCTGCTCGTTTCCCCAGCTGGGTCACTTTTGATGACAATGAGGTCAGCTGCCCTTTGCCACCAGTCACCTCTCGTCTAGAGCCGAATACACCACCTAGTACATCTGTGATCCCAGATGTACCTCCCAGCTCAGCTGGGTCATTTAAGAAGAGGGACCGTCCCAAGAGCACTTTGATGAACCTCTCCAAAGTCCAGAAGCTAGACATTTCCTCCTTGAACCGTCCGCCTTCCGTAACTGAGGCTCCACCTTGGAGGGCAACCAACCCTTTCCTGAACGAGACTCTGCAGGACGTTCAGCCCTCCCCTATCAACCCTTTCAGTGCTTTCTTTGAGGAGCAGGAGAGGCGCTCCCAAAGCAGCTCCATTCCCAGCACCACGGGCAAAAGCCAAAGAGATTCCCTCATCGTCATCTACCAGGAGGCCATCAGTTTTGATGACTCGAGCAAAAACCAGTCGCACTCCGATGCTGTTGACAAACTCAAACAGCTCCACATTGATGATCCTGATCGCTTCGGCAGCGTGACACTACCTGATGATGAACCCGTAGCCTGGGTTGAACTCGATGCTCACCCCCCTGGGTTGGCACCACCCCAGCCCAGAGATGGGTGGCCAATGATGCTGAGGATCCCCGAGAAGAAAAACATCATGTCCTCCAGGCACTGGGGCCCCATCTACATCAAACTGACAGACGGTGGCTACCTGCAGCTGTATTACGAGCAGGGCCTGGAAAAACCGTTCCGTGAGTTCAAGCTGGAGATCTGCCATGAGATTTCAGAACCCCGGCTTCAAAACTATGATGAGAACGGCCGGATCCACAGCTTGCGGATAGACCGTGTCACCTACAAGGAAAAGAAGAAATACCAGCCCAAACCCGCCGTGGCCCACATGGCAGAGAGGGAGCAAGTGATTAAGCTGGGCACCACCAATTACGAGGACTTCCTGAGCTTCATCCACGCAGTTCAGGACCGTCTCATGGATCTGCCTGTGTTGTCCATGGACTTGAGCACAGTTGGCCTGAACTACCTTGAAGAGGAGATTACCGTGGATGTCAGGGATGAGTTCTCTGGCATTGTGAGCAAAGGAGACAACCAGATTCTGCAGCACCATGTCCTGACACGCATCCACATCCTGAGTTTCCTCTCCGGGCTCGCCGAGTGCCGCTTGGGACTCAATGATGTCCTTGTCAAAGGGAACGAGATCGTCTCGCGGCAGGACATCATGCCCACCACCACCACCAAGTGGATCAAGCTCCACGAGTGCCGTTTTCACGCATGTGTGGATGAGGATGTATTCAACAGCTCGCGGGTCATTCTGTTCAACCCTTTGGACGCATGCCGCTTTGAGCTCATGCGGTTCAGGACGGTGTTTGCTGAGAAGACCTTGCCTTTCACGCTCAGGACAGCTGCAAGCATCAACGGGGCGGAAGTGGAGGTGCAGAGCTGGCTGAGGATGTCCCCCGGCTTCTCCTCCAATCGTGACCCCCTCACTCAGGTGCCCTGTGAGAATGTGATGGTCCGTTACCCTGTGCCCAGTGAGTGGGTGAAAAACTTCCGCAGGGAAAGTGTCCTAGGGGAAAAGTCTTTAAAAGCCAAAGTGAACCGGGGAGCAAGCTTTGGCTCCAGTAGTGTCTCTGGCTCTGAGCCTGTCATGAGAGTAACTCTGGGGACCGCAAAATACGAGCACGCCTTCAATGCCATTGTGTGGAGGATAAACCGATTGCCGGACAAAAACTCAGGTGGGTTGTAGTTCCTGCTCTGTGACAACCCCCACCTGGTGGTGGAAGAGCTGGATCAAAGTTCACATCCTGTGTGCAATGCTTGTTTGTGCTGTGTGATGGGAATGGTGACAGAGGGGGCGTGGGACCAGAAAAGTAAAAATCGTTGAGCAAAGCAATTAGCAAGCATAATGACCACATTTGCCTTATCTTCTCACTCCCTCCTCATCACATATCTTCCATGAAACTGTGGATTCTTTTTCTCAGCTGAGCTGCTAAGTAGCTTTCTAGGGCAGCTTCCGAGTTTGTAATCTTTGGGGACTCATTAGAATATTAGCTGTGGTGCTGGAAGTGATCCATGTCCAGATCCTGGAAGGCTGCTGGGTTCTGAGGAGGCCACTTTCTCACTCTGCCGTCGATGTGGGAAAAAGGCCAGTTTCTGGCCAGTCACATAGACAGTACCCTGAGAAGTTGATTTTATGACTCCAGCTACTGTGTGTGAGGCCCTTAAGTCAGCACATCTCCGGCTCAAGGCCTGGCTCTGGGACTGGGGCATGGGAAAGAGCAGAAGTGGCTGCTGAACTGATGAAAGACTCAGCCAGGACTTCAAATGGCCAGGTGTGGTGGTTAACACCTGTGATCCCAGCCCTTTGGGAGGCCCAGGTGGGAGGATCACTTAAGCCCTGGAGTTTGAGGCTGCAGTGAGCTGTGATCTTGCACCCTTCTCCAGCATGGGCAATAGAGTGAGAACTTGTCTCAAAATAAATAAATAAAAGGGCTATCATTCTCTCTCTCTCTCTCTCTCTCTCTCTCTCTCTCTCTCCTCTCCTCTCCTCTTCTCTCTCTCTCTCTCTCTCTCTCTCTTCCAGGTGAGATAGTTACAAGAAATGTTTGATCTGAACAAATAAAGAAGCTTCCCAGCTCTAGCTGGGCCACTCACAGCCATCGGGGATGGTGCCCAACATTATCCTTTTGTGGTTGAGTGAGCCCAGACAGCCACTGCTTTCCTCGTGGGTCCACTGAGATTCAGTGAAATGACAAAATGGGAATAGTCAAACCAACACCAATAGCCTTATTTTCTAGAGGAATTCTGGGTGACCCCTGTGGCAGGCAATGTGCCCATGACCCTGTGAGCTTCTCAATCCTTCTCTTCTTATTTAAAATCTGTTAACCAAAGTGGATACGCTAGCTGAGCAAAAAGAATAAGTTGTGGAAAAACTCTTGGTTGGAAGGACTTTCACTTACATGGCTGTCCTTTTTTCCCCCCATCTCACTATTGACTCCTAATCGTGTATTCAGAGACGGTGTGTTCCTCTCCTGCTCCAGTGTGGAGTGACTGTGTTGTAATATCTTAAACATAGTAGGATGGGATGGTGAGAGGCGTCCAATCTGGCCAGCTTCCCAGGAAGCCCAGGGCAGACATGCACCAGGACACTCTGTCCGATGCTGGGTGCAGCTTGGCAGGTGGAGGCACAATTGGACCTCTGTATTTGAGGCTGGACTTGCTTTCCTCTATTTCTAAACTGACAGGATTTTTGAGACAAAATCTTCTACTCTGTACTTGCTTATTCATGTCCCCTGAGCTCAGCGCTGTGTTCTCCTGGGGACAGCTCTGAGATTTTCCCTTCAGCCATGGGGCCCATCTGACTTGACAGAGAAGAGGAACCCTGAGTTGTCCATTGACACAGAAGCCCTTGGGCAGAGAGAACTGGGGAATTACTGGATTTTCAAGCACTAGGGGACCTTGGGGATAACTTAGTCAAACTGCTTCAATCTACAGATGAGAAATTGAGGCCTGGAAGGTGACGTGACTCATCTGAAGTCACACAGCCATATCCAGGGGTCTTTTCTCAATACCATAGGTGCTTCTTAGTAAATAAAAGCAGGTAGACACAAATATAATAATTTCCATTATGAGAACAGAGATTTGCATTTTGCCTAGCGTGTACAAACATGTCATTTGTTTCAAAGTGATTTCTCTCATATTGAAAAGTACTATAGGAGGGGTTTTTATTGTAAGTCATGAAGACTTATTGGCTACCTTAAGCAAAAAATAAAAAAAATAAGTCATTGGATGGCTATGGGGTAGCTCAGGGAACTGAAGCCATACTTGAATGAGCTGACTTAAGAAAGGATAGCACCAGAATAGCTCTGGGAACAGAAACTGATGAATGCCTCCTCAGGGTGCAGCCCGGGGACAAGTCATCACAAATTGTTTTCTGTCCTTGTGCCACTTGGTTCAAGAGTTGAGGGGAGGGCAGTGCATTCTGATTGACATGACCACCAAGACGACACGCAGCACTGGGGAAGATTATTTCACAAAAGGAGAGAAAGAAAAAGATGACTGTCAGAAGAGAGGGGGGTGGCCATAGTACAGGGAAAAGAGAAGGGCCTTCAGCAAACATCTCTCTTTTATTTTTTTATTTTTTTGAGTTGGAGTCTTACTCCATCGCCCAGGCTGGAGTGCAGTGGCACATTAATGGCCACCCCAGCGTCGACGTGCTGAGCTCAGGCGATCCTCCCGCCTCAAAAACCTTCCAAGTAGCAGGGAACTACAGGCGCACGCTACCATGCCCAGCTAATTTTTTTATTCCTTGTAGAGATGAGGTTTCACCAAGTTGCCCAGGCTGTTCTCAAACCCATGGGCTCAGGCAGTCCTGTCACCTCAGCCTTCCAAAGTGCTGGGATTATAGGCTTCAGCCACCATGCCCGGCCAACACATCTCTTAATGCTTCCCAGCAGAGGGTTCGATAGGCCCAAGACCAAGTAAACACAGTTGATCTGCTGTATCACATGTGTATTTCCAGGTTACTGAAACCTCATTTGTAGAAGATTTCTGAAATACAGTACAGTATAAGGATATTTGGGGATTTTCTTACTTGAACCCTCAACCCTCCCCATTACTGCTTTTGCTGCCATGGTTGTATGACAGTGATTTTAAGAGTGAACCCCCAAAAAGAGGCAGTTTCTACTTCTGGCCAATGGTATTGTTTCCATTCTAGCTCAGGAAATTGACAGCACCCTTTTCTGGAAACTTGGGGTGTACAGGATCTGAATTTCAGTTGGAATGGAAGTCCTAACCAGCAGCTGGTATTCACTGTGCCCAGATCCTGCCCTCCCATCCAGTGCCCCATCCAAAAAGCCAAAGACTTGATGATCATCTATGAAGAATAGCCCTTACTGAGCTCTTTTGTCTAGGTATTCAGGCAGCAAAAGATGCTTTTCTTTTGTGAAGATGCTTTTCACAGGTTGTTTTCTATAGTCCTTAACTTCCCTTACAATAAAGGAAGCGAGGCCCAGCCTCCCTCTCCACTCTCCACACACGCTCCCGCCCGCAGTGGCCCTGCAACCCAAGACCCTGGTGGGCTGGTGGTCAGACCATAGGCAGGCAGCATGGCCAGCACGTCAGCCCCCTGTGTCGCTGGCATCCCACGCCCACAGCCACAGCAGCTCATCGCAGTCCCAGCCACTGAGAGATCAGGTAGCTACCTTTGAATTCCAACACAACTGCCCGCCAGTGGGGCCCAACCCAGCCCTGCACTTGGGCAGCTCTCTCCTCAGTTTTCCAGGGACTCCTCTCACCCTCATCTCAAGAGGCAGAACAAGGCCCAGTGCTTTCACAGATCATCCACCAGGAAATGAGGCATTCTGTCCTGCAGAGGTAGCTTTCTTTGCTGGAATTCCAATTCTCATGAGACCAGGTAAAGGAAGACAATCCCAACGTAGCCTTTTATGGAAAATACAAATCTGAATTTTAATGTTGAATTTTTCTCAACTTAATCAAGGAAGAGGATATAACGTGTGGGCTTACTTAGTTCACTACCAGGACTTAAACTTACCCAGCTTTCAAAAGTGTTCTTTCCTAGCTGCCCACCACTCCTGTGCAGCTAATGGTTGACGCTGGAATCTAGGAGAGATTGTTGCTTTCAGAGTTTGTTGTGAATACACTTTGGTGGAGTGAAAGGAGGGAGTCGGTTTTATAGAAAAAAGTGATTTTTCAATATTCCAACAATGTGCAAAGCCAGGTAATTAGATTTTAAAAACAGTTGTTCAAGTTGCTATTAAATTAAGGGACGTGTCTGTGTACTTTGTAGTGATTTAATTTCATAGCAATAATTAAGAAGAATTAGGACATAGTTTGAAGTCGAGTCATAGCTGAGTCTTATTTCCAGCTCCACCACTTAATGGATGTGTGACCTCGGGCTATTTACTTAACTCTCTCAGAAAAACCCAATTTTCCTCATCTATGAAATAGGGTTATTAATATCCAGTTCCTTTAGAATGGAATGAGTGCTTTTAAGTGCTTTGCACACTATCTGGCCTGTGTAATGCCCAATAAATGATAGCTGTATAATTATATCTGTGGTACGCAATTAAAAATACTGGATGGATTCATTTTCAAGTAATGCAATTTGTACTACTATGTGTATCTTATTTAAATTCTTTTCCTAAAAAGCAGTGCAAAAATTTCACTTAATTTTCCAAGGTATTATTCTGTAGAAATTACCACTGAAAGATGTTACATTTGTGAAACAGGGCAAAGCAAATACTTATTCCGCAATGTTCTCCTTGGACAGCAGGTATGTGTGTCCTCACTCTCTGAGATTGAAGAGTCCTGCCCAGACCAGTCAAGAGCACTGGAATTATTTATTTGGGAAAACTGGGATAGTAAAGGGGCTGTTTCAGTTACATAAGTAAGTCAAAGTCATTTCACTTTGTCTATCCAAAATCATTTGCTGCATGGGCCCTCACAGCTTACTCCTTCTTCACACCTTTCACCCTGCAAATGTGGTCTTGAGGATTGGGGACCGTGAGGTTGTGACTCAGGAAAGTGATTAAGAACACTCTGGAGTCAGTCTGCTGCATTCAGTTCTTTGCTCTGCCCCTTTCTGACAATGACCATGAGCAGCTCACTTTGCCTGCCTAAGCTACAGTTTCCTCATCTATTAAATGAGGATACTATTATGACTTCAAGAGATCATAATGAAGATGCAGTAAGATAATCTGTGTGAAAGATTTAGCTTAGTGCCAGACATTGAGTGCTTAACAAAAGGTGTTTCCTGCTACTTCAGGTGAACAGTGATATTTCAGTTACTCTTTTTCCTTAAAAATCTAATAACAATTCTCAAATTAAAATCAAACCCTAATCTTGTCGTCCAAGTATAGTAGAATTACCCATAGATTTGAGGAATTAAAAGCATCAAGGGACTGTGCCCGACATTGTCCAGCCCACTTTTTCCCCCCTCTTCCCAACACCCAATCTCCCCATTTTACTGATGAAAAATTGAGGCCTGGAGAGAACAGAGGACTGGAAGTAGGAGCTCTGCATTTAGTAGGAGAGCTGATGGTCAAATCCAGGTATTCTGCCAGTTGGTGTTGTATCCTATTCCCTGCACCTCCCTAATACCTGGGTGCTGTTTCTAAGGTCTTGGTCATTTACATATCATTCACCCATATAAGCATGCCAAAAGCATTTTGAAATATGCACTGCTGTTAAGAAAATGCAATTCATCTTTCCGAGGAAAGCGGTGATTTTGCTCCAGGCGGCTGCCGTGGCTATTTTATTAGGTGCTGAGCGCTGGTGCCGTTTATTCCATTCCTCCAATCTGCAGCCCCAGTTTCCTAGTATTTGTGCTGTGTTCACACATCACTCGGACCTGAGCAAGCAAAACGACCCCAGCTTCTCAGGCCTTGGGTCTTATTGCTAGGCTGGCGGGCTGCTCTGATCAGATAGTGTTAAACCAAAGGGGCTGAGGTACACAGGCCTCCTGCTCAGCACTGGCCTCTACCAGGTACCCAGCCTGCAGGCCTCCTTTGTTACTGAGGTGGCTCCTCTAGCTGCTTCTTCCACTTCCTCCCCAAGGAACCTGACCTCTGCATTGTCTTTCTCTCATAGCTTCCGGTCACCCCCACTGTTTCTTTTGCCACCTTGAACTTGGCTCTGACCGAGAAGTGCCTTCCAGATTTGCCAGTCACGTGAATGTGGAGTTCAGCATGCCTACCACGTCTGCCTCCAAAGCCACCGTAAGATCCATCTCCGTGGAAGACAAGACTGACATCAGGAAGTGGGTCAATTATTCCGCACACTATAGCTACCAGGTAGCCTCGGGGTGCATCCGGCCAGTGTTTCCAAGTCCATTTGTTCACCCCACTCCGCTACCCCCTCCCTCCTTTCAGCAGTGCTTACCGTGGATACCTGATGTCCTCTTAATTGCCTTAGAGGACATTCACCCTACACAGCTGAGGATGAGTCTGCTCTGATTTGTTTGTTTGTTTTTGAGTTGGAGTCTCATTCTGTCGCCCAGGCACGCTCACAGCCACCACAGCCTCGACCTGCTGGGCTCAGGTAATCCTTCCACCTCAGCCTCCCAAGTAGCTGGAACTACAGGCATGCGCCACCATGCCCAGCTAATAGTCTGCTCTGGTTTAAATGAATAATCTCTCTTGTGGGCCAGAGAAAGGTTGGGGGGAAAATGCTCATTAAGGATCAAAAAATGAGCTGGGCATGGTGGCTCAAGACTGTAATCCCAGCACTTTGGGAGGTGGAGGCGAGAGGATTGCCTGAGCGCAGGGGCTCAAGACCAGCCTGAACACCATGGTGAGACTGTGTTCCTACAATAAATCAAAACTTAGCTGGGTGTCATGTCACATGCCTGTGGTTTCAGCCTGGGCCACAGAGTGAGACTTCCAACTCAAAAAAAAAAAAGATCAAAAAATGCTCATATAAATGTTTTTCTATCACCATGAACAATAACAACAAAAACAGTGATGGGATAAAGGAGGTAGAATTACTCATTTGTAATATAATTTTGCAGAGTCATGAACTTGGAAGTGGATGGGAGTATCCAGAAAGTCCTACCCCAAAGCATGTGTCTCAGAGGAGCCGATGACATGGATCCAAAGTTAGTGTGTCCATGGCCTGGGCACTGGGCTGTAACAGTACAAAGCCCAAGAGTCAAGCAAACTTTTATCATAGTACCTGGATCAGGGCTGTAGAAGGGATAACTAGAGTTGGAACTTTCTGACATAAATAGAAAGTGATACTATCCTGAAAAGTCAGAAATTCAATAGATTAAATGGCAAATACTGGAAAAAATGTATTATTAAAGAAGGATTTTGCTGGGCTTGGTGGCTCAGCCTGTAATCCCGCGCTTTGGGAGGCTGAGGTGAGTGGATTGCCTGAGCCCGTGGGTTCGAGACCCGCCTGGGCAGCGAGACCTCATCTCTACAATAAATCAAAAAATCAGCCGGGTGTGGTAGCGCGCGCCTGTAATTCCGGTTACTCGGAAGGCTGAGGCGGAAGGATGGCGGAGCCCAGCAGGTCGAGGCTGCGGTGGCCGGGAGTGGCCACTGCACTCCAGTCTGAGCAACAGCGTGAGACTCCAACTCAAAAAGAAGGATTTTCAAAGTGGTTTAACTTTCAACTCATAATATCCTTAGATTTATATGGTGGTTTATTTTTCCCCTATATGTTTCCTTACTTGTATGGTATAAAACATTTAACTACCAAAAAGAACAGATACTCCATCTTGTGGCCAGGAAAAAAACAGCACTTCCCTCAGACACGATCCTGTGTTCTGTGTTGAATTGTGACCCTCTAAGTTGAGCATCGTAAATATCCAAAGTGGTGCTGAGAGGAGCAACCTCACTCATGAAACTCCTGAGCTAGAAGAATTCCCGGCCTGACTCATCAAAGACTTCAGTTGAGATGTGTCACTTTCAAGGCAAGATTAATTTATTAATCCCTTTAAAATTACAGGTACAGGCCGGGCTCGGTTTTTCAGCCTGTAATCCCAGTACTTTGGGAGGCCGAGGCAAGTGGATTGCCTAAGCTTGCGGGTTCGAGACCAGCCCAGGCAACTTGGCGAGACCTTATCTCTACAATAAATTTTTTTAAAAAAATTAGCCAGGCATGGTAATGTGCGCCTGTAGTTCCAGCTACTTGGAAGGCTGAGACGGAAGGATCACTGGAGCCCAGCAGGTCGATGCTGGGATGGCTGTGTGTGTGCTACTGCCCACCAGCCTGGGCGACAGAGTGAGTCTCCAACTCAAAAACAAAATAAAGTAAAATAAAATAAAATTCAAGTACAGCATTTTGCAGAAGATATGGTAGAATGGTAAACACTCCAGTACTTATCAATTTGGAGGGTTTTTAATTTTTTATTTTATGTGTTTATTTTAGAGATGTAGGGTACAAGTGAGGGTTTCCTACAAAAGTAGGCTGCATACAGGTGAAATTTGGGCTTCTATCTGGCCCTCTCTCCCCTTGGTAGTGGACCAGGTACACTTTATTTTACTATGTGTCTTCTTCCCTCCTTTTCCCCTCCCTCCCCTAGCAGTGCCTAGCACCTGCCAATCCCACCCTTGTGCTGGTGTGGCTAGTATTCAGGGCCTGCTTATGAGTGAGAACATGCAGTATTCAGTTCTTTGTTTCTGTGATAGTTCACTTAGGATGATGGTCTCCAACTGCATCTAAATTGCTGCGAAGGCCATGATTTTGTCCTGCTTTATAGCTGCATAGTATTCCATCGTGTGTGTGTGTGTGTGTGTGTGTGTGTGTGTGTACACACAACACATTTTCTTTATCCCAGTTCACTTTCAATGGACATCTGGATTGGTTCTATGATTTGGAGGGTTTTTTAAGAGACAAAGTATTGGAAGGGCGTAAAGAGTCAATTACATGGCCAAGCACAGTGGCTCATACCTGTAATCCTAGCACTTTGGGAGGCTGAGGCTAGAGGATTGCTTGAGCCCAGGAATTCAAGACCAGCCTGGGCAACATAGTGAGTCTCTTAAAAATATCAAAATATTAACTGAGCGTGATGGCATAAGCCTGTAGTCCCAACTACTCAGGACGTCATCTCTACAATAAATCAAAAAAGTAGCCAGGCATGGTGGCACGTGCCTATAGTTCCAGCTACAAAGAAGACTGAGGTGGGAGGATCAACTGAGCCCAGCAGATCCAGCCTGAGCGACAGAGTGAGAGATTTCAACTCAAAAAAAAAAAAAAAAGTAAATTACAAAGTAGTTCATTCATTTGATAAATCTTTGTCAGCTGCCTACTGTATTCCTACATTGTTGCATAAAATACTGAACAAGATCCCACCTCCATCCTGTGGAGCCTGTGGTTATAGTGAAGCTGGACAAGTGTGCATGGCGCAGTGGAAATATTCAAGAGAGGAACACTTATGTCTGCCTAATGAGTCAAAAATAGATTCACAAAGGGGTGAGCTTTGAGCAACTGTGCAAGGCAAAGAATAAGAACTTTCCAGGTGGACCATGAGGGAAAGGGAATCCCAGACCAAGCACAGAGCATGTGCAAAGAGTGAGTCATGACACACTCAGGGCCAGTAGCTCCAAGGGTGCTAAATCCCACAACATAGCAAAACAACAAGGAATCTCAAAGAACATACTACAGGATACTTTTGGTTTATTTATTTGTTTGCGTGCTTTTCGTTTTGATATTTATCTTCAACTTCTGTTCTTGGCAGGTGGAAATTGAACAAAAAAAGAGTTTGAAGCCGGACTTTGAAGGAGATGAAATGGAAAACCCCAAGGAGTGTGGGGTACAGTGACAAAGCCCCACAGCAAGGAACCTAGACCCCAGAATCACGACAACATGTCTTCCTGGATAGCTGAAGTTTAAGTCAAGACCTGCTGGGGCCACTCCATGTTGGGAACAGTGTATCTGACCTTCCTGTTTGCAGTTAACTGTACTTCAACAGGAAACCCTGCGGTGGTTGCTTGGAGAGGCAGTTTGATCCCATCTGAAGCACGCGGCTCACCTGACTTGTGGAGCTTACTGGAAAATTAAGCCTCCTTGTCTCATCTCTGCTCATCTCACAGCACTGGGATGTGGCTTGTTGTGACTACAGAGTCAGAAAGAGAACCTCCCACATCAGTGTTGGCATGATTCCCTTCTGATGGTCATCTGTCACTCACATGCACTTCTGGAAAAGGAGTCTTGAGACGTTGATTAAGAATCTGTCTCTGTCATTCCCTCTAGAAAAGATTCAGAAAAGGTGCAAAACAATTTCCTTTTCAGGTCTGCCAGACCTTTTATGGGTATCTCCATTCTTTAAATGTTAATGCTATGCAACAGAAGTTTTCCAGACGTTTCCCTCCTGGTTCTAGGTTGTTTAGATTGGAACACTTATTACATCTCTCTAAGGTTTCAGTTGCAGGATTTGCTGTCCTAAGTCACAATAGACAGTGAGGAAAGGCACAATTGGGTACTTTCTAACTCTGAATAGATCCACATTCTGAAAAAGGGTAGCTGCTGAGAAGAAGGCAAAATTAAGCTTACTTTCTTCATTCTGGGGAAAAGAGACACTACACGTAAGCTTATATTCAGATAAGAAGACAAATTCATTCTCAGTGAATTCCCACATTCACACTGAAAAGTATAGGCCACTTATGATTCCTGAAATAAATGGAGATATATATACACGTGTGTATATTTTTATATATATATTATCTTGGGCATTTGTAAGAGACATTTAGAAGATTTTTGTTTGTTTTTGCTTTGTTTGAGTCTGGGGCTCACTCTGTCATCCAGGCTGGAGTGCCGTGGCACTATCACAGCTCACTATAGCCTAACCTCCTGGACTCAGGCGATCCTTCTACTTCAGTCTCCTGAGTACCTGGGACTGCAAGCACACACCACCAAACCTGGCTTTTTTTTTTTTTTTTCCTCTGTAGAGACAAGGTCTTGCTATGTTGCCCAGGATTGCCTCGAACTTCTGGGCTCAAGCAGTCCTCCCGCCTTGGCCTCCTAAGAGTGCTGGGATTATAGGAATGAGCCACCACACCTGGCCTGGGAGTTCTTTTTATACCTCATAGCCAATAGACAGTTGCATGTCTTTTTAACTCAAACTTTATAGGGAATTTAAGCTGAAAAGATAATTTTAGAAGCTTAAGTGTTTAAAATTAAGATTGAATGAGCTTTCCCCCAAAATTCAGAGTTTGATCATCACAGTATTGCAATAGATTGAAAAACATCTCTAGGGTAGAGATGGGGAAAAGCCATATTTTTCTAATGTTGGGAACCTTAAATCCTGATTCTAGGAGTCAGGACCTTTAATCTTTTCTTTCATCTGTTCCTGGGACACTCAGTCTTCTTTTTCTTTATCTGCTCCTTCTCTCCTTTGCTTCTTACTTGCACCTTGGTGTTTTCTCCCATGAAGAATAGAGTTAGCATGCTTCTATTTCCTGGAGGACAGCTCACTTCACCAGATTGGTAGATGATGCCAACACAGACAATATCTCCAGTTTTGGCTGATAGATTCAAGACTAATTTATTCAATGAACAATCATTGAATTCTAACTATGTACTAACGCTAGGATATATAAATAATTGCAGTGTTTTGAAATACCTGGACATAAGACTGAAACTAAAAGGATGATTAAACAGGCATTAATGAGAAGCCCTATATTCGGGGTTCTTTAAATGCAACCCTTTAAGTGCAAAGTGGAGTGTGCTTTTGTGTGTGTTTGTGAATGTGTGTGTTTATGTGTTTGTGTTGCTGGGAAGGGTGTTGGGAGGACCTGGTTTCACAGCAGTTTATGTAGAAATGCTTTCTTAGGGAAATGGGAGTTCAGTTTTGAACCATGAGTGTATCGTGTCTATTCACAAAGCTAGTATGTTCACCTTGTGTTAGTAACAGCCCTGCATGCTTTTATTAACCCCCCACCTAGTCCACATCTAGACAGAAGGTTGGGTTCAATTATGGGTACCATATATTAAGAGAGACATTAATAAATTGTGTCCACAGGCAGGTGACCAGGGTTGTGAAGGATCTGATTACATAAGGAACAAGGGAGCAGCTCGCCTGAAGAACAAAAGGTGTAAGTTGGGAAGGGAGTGCAGACAAGGAGGAAAGATAAAATTTCCTCAAAATTTCCGTTGAGCTAGAAAAAGGAAGAGGAATTAGACTTATTCTCTGTAGTTTCTTTTTTTTTTTTCTTTGAGTTGGAGTCTGTCACCCAAGCTGGAGTACAAGTGGCACACTCATGGCCATCTCAGCGTCGACCTGCTGGGCTCTGGCCATCCTTCTGCCTCAGCCTTCCAAGTAGCCAGAACTACAGGTGCATGCTACCACTCCGGCTTATGTATTTATTGTAGAGACAAGGTTTTGCCAAGTTGACCCGGGCTGGTCTCAAACCCATGGGCTCAGGCAATCCACTCACCTCGGCCTCCCAAAGTGCTGGGATTACAGGCTGAGTCACTAAGCCTGACTCTCTGTAGTTTCTTTTTTTTGAGTTGGAGTCTCACTCTGTCGCCCAGACTGGTGTGCAGTGGCTGCTCCCGGCCACGGCAACCTTGACTTGCTGGGGCTCCGGCGATCCTTCCGCCTCAGCCTTCCAAGTAGCTGGAATTACAGGCGCGCGCTACCACGCCTGGCTGATTTTTTGATTTATTGTAGAGATGAGGCCTCACCAAGCTGCCCAGGCGGGTCTCGAACCCGCGGGCTCAGGCAATCCCCTCACCTCAGCCTCCCAAGGCGCGGGATTACAGGCTGAGCCACCGCGCCCGGCTTCTCTGTAGTTTCAAAGGGCAAAAATATTAACAGAGAGGAGCTTTGCAGATGACATACTTGTTTCAATATAAGAATTTTCTAATATGAGTTATTCTGAAGAGGAATGAACGCAACTAGTAAAATCTATTGCTGTAAATGCCCAGAGGGTAAAACGATCATGTAGCCCAGGTGCTATGAAAGGGACTCTTGCATTGGATTTGGTCTGGATGACTGGCAAGATCCCTTCTATAGACTTGATCTCAATAGAATGAGGCTCTCTAACTCCAGTTGTCTTTTCCTTCATAAGTGGTTTTTCATGCTCTTTGATATACAGTGAAGTTCCCTTGAGGTCTTTGTCAAGGGATTTCTTTTTTTCTTTTTACTTGTTATTTTTTTTTGAGTTGGAGTCTCACTCTGTCGCCCAGACTGGAGTGCAGTGGCTCCCCCCCGGCCACCGCAGCCTCGACCTTCTGGGCTCTGGAGATCCTTCCGCCTCAGCCTTCCAAGTAGTCGGAACTACAGGCGCGCACTACCACGCCCGGCTAGTTTTTTGATTTATTGTAGAGATGAGGTCTCGCCAAGTTGCCTGGGTGGGTCTCGAACCCGTGGGCTCAGGCAATTCACTTGCCTCGGCCTCCCAAAGTGCTGGGATTACAGGCCGGGCCACCGAGCCCGGCCCACCGAGCCTGGCCATCAAGGGATTTCAAGGCCTTTCTCTTTCTCTGTTGTACTAAAGGCACTGAGATTCCCCACAGAGCATCCAGATGGGTTGGAGAATTGGCAGGATGAATGAAGGTCATCCCAGCACCTTCCTTATTCCCTCCAGCTTAGCACTCCCAAGATCTCAGCTGCTAGCATCACATGTGTATTTTTTCTTGGATCTTATTCCGGCCCCCCAGTTGATTCTCATTGCCTTTGTGCTTTCTTCTGGACTTTTAAAAAAATTTTTAAACCAAGAGTTAGGAAAAATCCCTCCTATAACACAACTGGGCAAATTACCTATGTAGTAACCTACGTACAAAGCACAACTGGGCAAGTGACCTTTTTGATGTGCAGATTCTATGTTTGCCATGCTGGACCTGGATTTGTGTGTGTGTGTGTGTGTGTTTTCACAAATAATCCTTGTTTGTTATAAATAATGTGAAAATATTAAAAGTGAATTCATTTACCATACATAGTATTACTATTAGAACATAAATTAGATATCAAATGATATCAAGAGCTGTTTCTTCTTTTCAGTCTAGGGCTTGCTTTTTGACTTTACGGTAAAGAGACAAGAAACGCCCTCACTGTGATATGTCGAGCAAGAGAATATGAGGCACTTTGAGGGGAAACCATTAAACCCCCTTTGCCTGCCCTTGTAGGCATAGTATTAGTTATTCTTTATCAAAAGTTTGCATTTTGTTCATTGTAAATATCATGTGGGCAGTTTTGTTTTCTGTTTGGTTCTATCCCTGCTCTACCTTTCTGCATTATCAGCAGGGCTCATAATCCTTCAGAACATTTTTTTTAACGGAAAATATTCTTAATTGAAATGAGACTAGTTATTAAAATCTAGTGGTTGGGAGCAGGAGTTTATTTTCCTAGAAAGTCATGTTTCTGCGAGGTGTGATGCATGAAAAGCAAGGAGTGTATCTTACTCATTTGTGTGTTCATTCCCTAGCGCAAAGCTTGGAATATAATAAGGTTCAGCCACCTTAAATCCTTGTGGGTAGGGCAAACATATATTCATGAAATAAAGGAAAAGTACCAGGTATTCAATAAATGCTTGCTGAAAGAATACTGACCCTGAGACTCTAAGGTTTCTTAACCCTTACATATCAAATGCTCATATTAAAATAAGCAAGCATACTTTTATTTCCCAGAGGACTTAAATAATTTTCCTTTCCTTTGATTCCTGCCTCCAGAGTCAACTATTAATAGTCACCAGCACTTAGGCACTCAATATGCTGCTGAATTTGAACTGTGGTATACCTTATTCACATGAAAAACATTTTTATGTCGAAAGTACAGCAGCATTGATGCTGTTCTTAGTCAAGATTATTGATTCAGTTTTGTTCCTGTGAGTCAAGCAGATATATGTGCCTAAGCCTTGCCCATTTGAATAGTCGGGCGAGAGAAGAAAGCATTTTATAGTGCACATAGCCGATCTTGTTTGCTAGGTCTTTGTTTTTTCCTGCATTAACTACTGACCAATGCTACTGTGTGTGTGTTTTGTCACTGTAGCAAAATGGAAGTCTGAGATAGGCTGAAACTCGTGAGATGAAATAATGACTTCTGAGGTGATCTGTGTTTCACAAGCTTTGCGGTAGGGAAACAGAATGAGCTGAAATCTTTCTTAAAAGCCTTGGAATATTAAATGGGTATGGATAGGAAGCATTGCTATTAAATTAAATTT